TCTCTCTCTCTGTCTCTTAACAAACAAATTTATGTACACATACACTATATATATAATATACCGTATACCTTGTCGGTTGCGTGTGCAAATTCAGGAACAGCAGCGATAGAACCTCCCAAAGCACAGGTGACATTTGTTGGCTGTTGCCGCTCAGCATTCTTTGTTGCCACATAAAGCTCATTCAGCAATTGCAACTGTCATGAAGCTTATAGTAGTCCCCAAATGGATAGTTACGTTTTCCAATACAATTTTAGTGGGGATCTACGAAGTTCTATATTTTTGCAGGTCTATATAGAAATTGTTAACCTGTGGATCACCACGAACTCTGGCCAGTCGACTGATTCCATCACATCTTCTGGGAGCGACCCAAACTGCACCGCTGAGAGTCAGTTCATCACAGACTCAGCACTTCGCCCGAAGCGCTCCGTTTCGCGGACCGTTCAACGCTGGGAAACCAGGTTTCGCGTGGGTCACTTCAACATCCTAGGTGCCGCGGGCTGTACGGGCGGTGGCTTAGATATTCAAGCTGTCATGAAAAATTCTTTCCAGAATCGTCCCATTGGGGTTCAATCTTCCAACGGGTTGTGGTTTTTTCTTGGTGTGGTCCCAACCCCAAAAATCTCAGGGACCAACGAAGGGTGCACCGGATGTTTGGCAGGGTGCCTTTTAGCAGTTCTTCGGAGAAAGAGCCTTTGAGATCCCCAGGATCCGACGTCGTTGCATCGATTTCAGACAGTTCAAACCATTGGATTCATTGGATATTATCTAGTTGGCAGAGGTCAGTCTTTATGGCATTGTTTGCTCATTTCAGACATTGCTTCTTGACATGGATGCTCAGGGATGCGGGAGAAGACGGCATGGTTTTCCGAACTATCATTTTTGGTTTGGCTGAAAACTGTGCTCGAAAAAGAACCTAAGACGTTACCTGACACTCATGCTGTTTCTTACCCCCCTCAACCTCTACAGCTCCAATCTATTTTTGAATCCGAGCGTCTCCCTCGTGTCCCTGTCATTCCCACGTCTTGTCCCGTTGGTTCCCCAACGAGGCAAGAAGATGGCCGGGACCAAGTGGCCACTCTGGCTGTCCAACGCGCATGGCTTGGAGGGGGGCTTCCACTCGAAAAGACACGTGACCGGCAGGAACCCATCTTCGGACCGGGTGTGGACGAAGCGGAATGTGATGTCCAACTATAATTGGTCCAGTTCGACAACAGTCTTCGTTCACCAAAAAACCTGCAGGTTTGTGATGGTGTTCTGTGGATGTCTGTGACCAAATGGTGTGGATGTCTGTGACCAGTTCACTGACCAGTTAAATGGTGTGACGGTTCGGTGACCAAAGGATCTGTGAAACCAGTCGGGAGCGAAACATCGCCCTCCAAAAAACCTGACAGAAAGACTAAGGATGTGCCATCCTGACAGACTAGGGTCTTTCATCACGAGTTTGTACCAAAGAAATCTGTGGGTCTTTCTTGCAGTCGACAGCCCCACCTGTCCCGTGTCCAGTTGATGTGCCGAAAGTTGCTTTGTTGATGTCAATTTAGTTTACTTGCACCAGAGCAGGTGCTCGCGGTGGGTGGGTTTGTTTCTTCTCCAAGACTTCACCCCAGGTCCGGTCAGGTCCGGTGGGATTCTAGAATTCTGGAATGACAAGGATAAGATTTGGGTCTGAAGGATTCTGGAGCCAAGTTCGCGTCGAAGTTTCTGCCGGAGGTCCTTAGAGTCCCTGGTGAAACTTTCAAAGTCCCGAGCTTTTTTGAAAGTCTTTTTCATCTTCGCTACTCACCAGGCTGTCTGGAAGAAACGGTGAAGATAGTCTTGATACGAGCCAAATGTCCCACAAAGACCTGCTTCCCAGAAGAAAGCTCCAAAAACGAAGTCTCTTTCTCCTCCAGTGCACTCACCTCGATCCAGATGTCTAAGAAGTTAGGCACCAAACCTTTCCTTCCAGGTTCCACTATGCACGCGACTTCCTACCGGCCTCCTTCGCCTCCAACCACTGGGACTGGTCTCGGGTCTGGTGCCCCGGAGCGGATCTGGGGAGGACGTGTATGCTGATGAAACACTCTGCGCGCGGATGGTCCGCTAGGGAGACCCCGTTCTTTTTGTTGAGACCTTTCTCTTCTTGCAAACACCCCAGGAACCATGTTCTTCCCAGGGGCAAGTTGCTCGGTTTCTGAACTACATGGCACGTGTTGAAAAGAAGAAGAACGAGTTGCGGATGCTGAGGATACTGGCTGCTGGTTTTGGTTCCGGGCCAGTCTTGGAGGGTGTTGAAGACCCGGGCAGGTGGTCTTTTTCGATTCGACGGACGATGCAAAACTGCAAACTCCGGACGTGACAAAATGTGTGATGCAAATGAGCCGGGCCAATCTTTGCCACGGCCATAGCAAAAGTGAAGCAATGAGTCTACAATGTCATGACTGTCAACCCTAACAAAAACCGACCAGAATTATCTGGGGACTCTCTTCACCAACCAACCACATCAGTATTACAAGCGAAAGAGACAGAACTTGTATTTGGGGCTCAAAGTCCGCATTGCACCGAACAAAGGAACTGCTACTAAGCGAATGTGCAACACGTGCGCAGGCGGCGCAGCCGGCATGCGACAAAGTATATTTTCATCATGCCTCCTCTATCCAGGCTTGTGCATTCTCCATCTACATGCCGCAGTGCATTTTTCACAGTTGAGCTGGACTGATTGAAGATGGTTCCTAAGCTGGACCTCACTTGACTCCACTCTTCTGTTGCATCCGGCTGTGGCCGTCCGTGCCGTTTGAGCGTCCGGTCCGTGCGGTTCGTTTCGCCCAGGCGGGTCACTTCCCACGGTCTCTGCTGTGGTCTCGAGAAGAGGGGTTGGGGAGCTCAAGCGGAGCTCGGGTCAGACCTGCCAGCGGTTGGTTTCTTTTTTGGCTCACCTGGTTGTTCACCTCAGACTTCGGTTGTTCACCTGGTTTTCGTCCAGGTGGGTGATCAAAACAACATGTCGTTTCACAGGGCAAACTCCCGTAGGAACCGTGGCGCCAATCTCCCCAAGAGAGAGTGCAGGATCGCTGGGCAGTGGAGCATCCCGCAGAGAGGTCGTTGTTTGACACAACTGGACCACGAGATTGATGGGAATTCCCATGGAACTCTTGGTCAAATGAGGTGGTCCACTGTGGAGTCCTGGAGGCTCCTGGGTCGTATGGTACGAAATTCTCTGGGCCTCACTGGACGATGCATGCAGCGAAACGCTGGCGGCGCAAGGGGACGCCCAGTTCAGTTGGAGCGTCTATAGAGCACCACCTCAAAAGCCTCCGAACCAGAGGCAAATTGGATAGATGTTTCCCCCGGTCCGCACTGGATGCGATGTGGCAGGATTTTGAAGGGCGGAACTTTGGGGTTCCAAGCAAGATCGACACTGCGCCAGGCATTTTCCAGGCAGAACTCATCCAGATCCATCACTGGGAGGGTGCAACAGTGTAAATCCATGGGTTGGGAGCTCCGTGTCACGCGGCGAATGCCCGCAGAAGCTCCGCGGTGCTTCGTGATTTTCGAAGCTCCCGGTGGGTGGAGCTAACCTGGAGCTCCTCCTGGCCGGGAGCTAGCAATCTGAAGGTAAGACCACATTCTAGCAGTTCCATGGAGGACAGGGTGCTCTCCGAGAAAGGTTGTTGGCACGGCCCCTGTCACATCATGAGACTAGTCCAACCTCTTTGATATGGAACTGCTGGTACTAGTGCTCTTTGGATGGAGTTTTCCTTCCACGCCCCGCCCTCGTGCTGAGTCCCTCAGTCCTCGTTCCGCGCGGTTCCGACTGCCCCGCGTGTTTGGTTCGACTGCCCCGCTCCGGAACCGCCAAGGCAGTCGCGGTTCTACCGCCTCGAGGCAGTTTGGACCCTCCGCATGTCGTTGGAGCCACCTGAAGCCACCAGCCATATGGAGGAGTAGCGGGGAGTGTGGACGATGATACGCCAGACCGCGAACTTGGGAAAACGGTAAAGGTGGGTCGTTTTCTTTTTGGGGACTCCTTCTGCTTTCCGAGCAGTAAAGCTGTGACTTGGTGAACTTTCGAGGGAGTTTCCTTCTGATTTTTCTGCAATTCAGAGGCATGGTGCAGAAGTACGTGCTAAACAATACGGTGTTCTTCTCTTTTTCTCCTGTCTCCTTCATCGATTCAACAGCTTACATGGTCACAGAGGTTTCTACTGAGGCTTGCAACCTCTGTGCTTCCATTTTTGGAATGGCTTGATGGCTCCCGAGCTGTCCATGAAGCTTGGTGCGCGGCGCTGCAGATCTCAAGTTCTGTTGGGTTTGACCATGTGTACCAACCAGTGGCCCTCAAACCCAGAAAAATAGACGCTTTTACATACAGAAACCATGTTTTTTGCTAGGGAAAACCAGGATCTTGCATGGTTTGGGGCCGGGGATGCCGGGTTGAAAACCCGATCTGCCTCTTTTCTTCGTTCCGATGCGAAGAGCGTCACATGACTTGGATGTGACGATGTGACTTGGAGGGCCCAATCCCCTGTTATACAGCCTTAGCTGACCCCAGAGCCATCTCGCCAAGCCAGTTCGGTGACCAGAGCCATCTCCCACTTCGCCAGGTCCTGTTGAAGGAGATCCGATCACTCAGCCGGGACACCTGGGGTGCTGTTGACGGTGGGTGCTCTGCGGGTTTGAGAGATGGACCTCGACTTAGGGTCAGAGGTGTTGCAGTTTGGAGTCGCGGTTTTTGGGAGAGCTAAACAAGACCCTTGGAATGACCACGACAGATCATGTTGCATGTATCACTTGTGCCAGCGCAAGTGCAAGTGATGCTCGCAATAAAGAGGATCACAAGAGCATACAACAGCGCCAACAACAGCGTTTTCTTGCTATGACCCCTAGTTCGACCTCGAGTTCTTTTGCTTTCTCGATAAGGAATCCCGTTCATTGAACGACTCGACAGCGTGCGACGGCTTTTCCAAGTCGATCGGGGCGAGCCAATCGCGCGCAGCGATGTCGCGCCATCCCCGGTCGAGGCGCTGATGTGCTTTGCCTGGTTGAGCTGGATTGCTTTGAGGAGCAGCTTGATGGAGGGAAGGAGAAAGGAGGATTGGAAGGAGGGAAGCGGAGAAGCCGGATCCCAGGCAACCACTATTGTCGTGGCCTGGGGTTGCCGTGGCCTGGCAGCGAAGTCTTTGGAGACCTGGATGGATCGTCCCTGTAGATGGAGATCGTCTTAAATCCGAGGGCTGCAACACCGGTGGAGGCACCGGTGCTGCCAGCAGTGAGATAGTGACACACCTAGTGAGATGGGGCAACGCGGAACATGATATCATGATATGCCTTTCTAATGGCCCTGGGCCTCTAGTGGCCGCTTTGAGGCAATGGAATTGTCACCGTTTGTTCCCAGAAACAGTGTGCTATCTTTCATCAGGTCAATTTCCTTTTCCCTCTTCGTGGCATGACACAACTCCAAGCTGTTTGGGCCTTGAGAGGCGGAGTCAAGAAGGATGAAGGAAGCCCAGCATAAGCCGTGTTGCCGAGGTTTCAGCAGATCCTCGGTGCAGATGGCTACGATGTGAGGCACCACAGGTCGGTCGCACCAGGTCGAGGTCGAACAACTCGGAGGTCGACGGCACTTGAGGTCGACGGGGCCATCAGCGGTGAGTTCCCGAAGCGGTTAGTTCACAGACCTCCCCAGAACACGAAAAGACCTCTTAGTTCACCAGCTGAAAAGGGTGGCTTTGTTCTTGGGGGATTTTGGCCATCAGCCTTCTGGCTTTGAGCCGCTCAAGCTCCAACATGGGGCTTCTGGATGTGCGCGGGAACCTGGGAACCTGGGAACCTTGCTGAGGCTTGAGAGCGAGGCTTGCTTGGGTTCAGAACTGCGGAGAGGTCGCTTCTTCCAGCGATTTCCAGGTGAACGGTGACCTTTCGGATGAATCAAAAAACGCCAGGACCGACCCCCTTTGGACCTCGACCTCCTTCCAGTGACCCTTGTGACCCAGACCTCGACCAGTCACCAGTGACCCCCCACGAGCAGAGCAAAACTGCATGGGTGTGTGACGAGGCGCCTCACAACGTAGTATCCGAGATGCTTCTAGAACCATCTAGGACCCCACCAAGTTTAATTTTGAACCGCCCTAGCGACGAAGCTGTGGAAGCTATCGACCTGACCGGAAATTCAGCACATCTCAAAATGCATATTAGCAGAGGCGATCTTGAACTAACCTGTGAAGCGGTTTCCTTTGCACACTTAGTGCTTTTGTTGTTCTGGCTTGATTTTGTTGGGCTTACAGTAGTTCTTGAAGAGGTTTCTACCTGGGGGGTAGCCATTGATGTTGCCAAGGTTCTGCAGTAGCCTGGAAGTGCATAGAAAGTTCATGAAAAGCACCGGGGTTAGCCGTTTGGTTCTCACTTCTTTTTTTCAGAGATAGTCAACCGACAGGACTGACAGAACTATCAAAAGTGCGTTGTCTACTGTATGAGCAACAGCAGACACTTAAGACCCCAGTTTCTGCTTCTAAACTGGATTGAGCAGCCCGTCGTTTCGACGGCGCTCACGTCCTTCGTTCTCTCTTTCGCGACGTCCAACTCTTTCGCCGCCCGGGGCCCGTGACGTCCCACGTGCGCCCGTTCGCCGAGGCGGTGTTTCAGCCACGCCCCGGCAAGCACGACGGCTGTGGGATCTTCTGGCGTCGGGAGGCGTGGCCATCGGGACTGAAGAGGCCGGCTGTTTGCAGGCAGGGTTTGAACAACTGACCCTTCCAAAGCTTGGTGGGCTGAGTGAGCTCTTTTTTTATATGTTTTTGTTTGTTTTCTTGGGCGAGATGGGTGGGATTCAGACGATGACACAGCCTCAGCCAGCTTGGATTTGCGTCAGGAATTGGAAAGAATGGAAATATCTTCCGTGGCTGCCACACTTGGTAGATCCAAAAGGGGCAGACATCTGAACGGAGGAGGGTTATGAAGTTCTTCCAACTACCGGTGTCGTGCAGTTTTTTGTTCAGTTTTGAATATCCAGTGACCTGGGTCCGGACTACAAGCTGCGCTGCCACAACTCACAGGATGAATGTGATGTACGGCATTATGTCTTTGTTCCCGTCGTGAAGCCCTCGTCACTGGATGAGTGTCAACCAGTGGGCCGTTGCTAGGCATTGGTTGACCTTCGATCCGAAGAAGATCCCAAATGGGGTCTGTCTTCGCCAGAAGACATCGGGGTGGAATGGCTGTCGAACTCCTTGATCAAACAGTGGCATCGCCCCTAAGTGACCGACAGACATCCGGTTGACAGACATCCTGCATGGCATAGTTGGGATGTCTCACGTTTAGCCGCGACACGGACTCTCCATTCTTCGAATTTGCAAGGTGTTAGATACGAGCCAGGTCTCTAGAAATGAGCCAGGTCTCTAGACGTCTCTTCTTTTCTTTCGCTCCTTCCATTCTTCCCCAGAGAAGCCATCGCAAGAAGGGTTGGAGGATGTTGGAGGCCACCGCTAGAAAGGCTGGCTCTTCAGGCCATCGCTGTTTGGTTCCTCAAAGTCTCCTTAGGATGGTGGAACCATTCTTCCCAAGAGAAGCCGAAAGAACTCCTCGCCGATCGCCCCAAACAGGTCTTTGAGTCGGTCCGGGTCGCCCAGCCCGAGCGGGCCGAAGGGCTCGGTCTTTTCGGCGTCGGAGCGCCTGCGCCGGAGTCGGCTGGGGTGGGCCGGTTTTGGACGTTCCGGTGGTTTGAGGGTCTTTTTGGGAGACCTCCGGAGCCGGGTGTGTAGCTCAACTGCAAAAGACCTCCGTTCGGCGGGAGACCGGAGTCGGTGGTTTCGCTTCGCTGGTCCGGTTTGGTCGATGTCGGGGGTCGTTCCCAGTCATGAAAGGACAGACCCAGTCGCTGGGATCCGAACGAGTGGTGCATATGGGATAAGCGCGTTCTTGATCGGGCTGTGAACAACCTCTCATAGTCTCAGAAGTTGTTGAACACACTTCTTCAGACTATGAGTAACTGTCGTCCAACTGGCGATGCTTGAAGCTTTGCGATCCTCCTTTTTCTCGAATTTTCACGCGCGAGCGGGCGTAGGATGGAACGGAGGACAATTGAAGTTAACCGAGCAATCCATTCATGGTCTTTTGCGAATCCAGATGAGGCCCGAACAGCTCCAAACCGAACCACCAGCAAATGGCAATGGAAGCCAACATCCCAGTAGTTTGCTCACCTCCACAACGAACGGTATACCTTCATGTGCCAAACTAGGTACGCCACTTGGCAAAAAGGAGGTTCGGCGCCTTTGGATCGATCCACTCCATTCTCTTCCAGCACTTTTGGACCGTGTGTCCGTTTCGGCGCACACCGCGGAGGTTGGGCCTTGCCGAGCTTTGATCTATGCCCTTTGGGTTTGGTTTAACGAGGGCGTCGATCTTATGCTGCACCAGTGAAGGGGGATGCCTCAATGCTCAGAGGGGGGTCCACATGGACGCTGAACAAGTCGGTTTGATCGCAGCTGGGTGTTTTTCACCCCTGAACGTCCTACTGTCACATGTCAGAGCGCTAAAACATCTGGGGGGAGTTAGGGTCCCATGCTCGAAAGACACTTGGACTTCTTGAGATGTTTGTGCTGATGATCTATAGAGGTTGCTGCCCTCTCCACCTGAGTCCGTGCCCGTCCTTTGTTTCATGCTTCGCTGGTCACCGAGATCAAGACCTGTTAGGGGTTGCTTCGATTGGAAAAGGGACTGTTTCTCTTGCTCTAAGTAGGCCAGGAAAGCAAGAAAGCTTCGGGCCCTTAGGCGCCAACCCGAGTCGCTTGAGTCGAGCTAAAGATGGCCTGACCCATACCTGAAGCAATTCCTAAGATTTGGCAGTGACATGAGTGACATGTTGGTGTATTTTGTCCAAGCGCATTTTCTACCAGGTGGAGATGACGCTTGTTTTGGGCAAGCTCCGTTTCGGGGCAAGCTGACATGGAAGGTGATGTTTCGGCCCCTGTAGCAAAGCGAATTCAGGCATTCCAGGCCGTTCCGCACCTCCGCCTGCCTAGGCACTGCCTGCCAATGACCGGATCGCCGTGGCTCAGGTGGGGATCGTGTGGGGAGGTGGGGGGCGGGTCACACGGATAGTGGGTCGATTAGTGGAGGGTGAGGAGATGATGGGGGGGAGGAAAGCCATCTGACACCACCTCGCAGCGTTCAAGGACGTGTTCGCACCTTGGGACTCGGGCCACCAACGTCATGTCCGACGGTCGGTGCCCGAGTCGGACTGACGTCGGCTGCCCGGTTTGGACATCGACTGCGCGGGCGACCAGTTGGGAATGGACCGACTGTGTGGACCGACTGAAACGCCGAGATCGGGGGGGAAAACCACGACAAGCACTGCGCGTTTTGGGGAACCCAATCGTCTTCAAGGTGAAGAGTTCTGAAGAAACTTCGGTGACCTTCGGTGCGACCCTTGTTTGTGAGCTGCTTTCAACCTGTTTCAGGAAGCAACCTGGTGGGGAGCTTGCTGGGTGGAACATGAGCTTGCACCAGTGATCTCTTATCTCTTCCAGAAACTCGAGCGTAATTCTCGCTTCCCTCTGTGTACATCCCTCGGTTACCTTGCTTCCTGGGGGGAACCGCACTCCGTATCCAGCCCGTCCGTCACGCCAGTTACTGGTGCATCGCCTGTCGCGCGATGCGCTCCTGGTGCTTTCCAGCCACCTCCACTGGGACCAGGAGCGCCTTTTGGTGAGGTCGTGCGTGGTGGAAGGTTTGGAGTTTTTTTTGGAAGTGGAAAGGGGGGCATGGTGAGGTCTCAGTGAAGTATTGCTCCACCTGTACATTTAGGCGACTGCGAAGAAACATGAATCTCTGACTCTGACTCAGCTTCTCAATTGGAAGATTCCCCCCTGTTTGGAGTGGAAAGGGGGTTTCCCTCACCATGCCGACCATGCCGACCATGCCGACGTTGGACTGGGCATCGATCTCCAAGCCCGTCTGACTTGACGACCGGGGAGGTAATGGACTCGAGTCGACTCGACGTTCGATGAGGTCCTGGGATGATTGGTACCAATGACTCGTGGTACCAATAAGGTGGATATGAACGGGTTGATCGTTCGGTGGCTGGCTAGGATGGATGTGGCGTTTGTTTTTGGGGGTACCTCACGTTGGGGGCAAACTCTCAAATGCTCTGTTCGCTTTTCAGTGAAATTGGGATGTTCCCACATGTACCAGGACCGGCACCG